CCCCTCAGGCCCTGATCTCCCTTCAGCCCTGAGGCTCCCCTCGGCCCTGGCTCCCCTCAGGCCCGATCTCCCCGTGGCCCGGGGCTCCGCACAGGCCCCGAGCTCCCCTCAAGCCCGATCTCCCCATGGCCCGGGGCTCCCCTCATGCCCGATCTCCCCATGGCCCGGGGCTCCCCTCAGGCCCCGAGCTCCCCTCATGCCCAGGGCTCCCTCCAGTCCTGATCTCCCCTCAGCCCTGATCTCCCCTCAGGCCCCAATCTCCTGTCAGCCCCAATCTCCCCTCAGGCCCCGGATCTCCCCCCAGCCCCGAGGCCCGTGGTGTGTCGGAGCAGGACACCTCCACCACCAGCTGGGTCATGAAGTGTTAAGTGACCCCTGTCAGGGCAGACCCCCAGCCACTCTTGGGCCTCTGAGGGGACTCGGGCCCGATACAGCCCTGCCCTGGGTAGGGGGGAACACGGGGGACGTGGGAAGGTTGCTGCGGGGGGATTGGTATGAGCTGGGGCCTGTCCGCACAGTGAGAGCAGCCGCCGCTGGCTCCCAGTGGGCTCCAGGGCGTGCTGTCCCAGCCCTTGGCCTCGCTGGAGACACGGAGGGGGGTGTTGGGTCTCTCTCTCGGTGCAGAGGCCATGAAGATTAACCAGAACACTGTGCTGCAAGGACAGAGGGTGACCCTGGTGCCATACACTTCTGCACATGTACCCCGGTACGTGGCTCGTGTTCTTCTCTGATACTCTTTGCACTGTCTGATTTCACTTTTTCAAGGGAGTGTGGTATTCGGAAAGGGTGCTGACTTGACAGCTGCAGGGCCCTCCTCCCCCTGGGAACCGCTCAGTAGAAAGGGCACTCGTAGAAAGGCAACCAGTTTTGCCCTCTGTGCCCTGCAGCAGAGATCCCTGGCAGGTCGGTGCTCTTTGCCAGGTCTGCTGACAAAGAGAACTTCATCTGTGCCACTGTGTACCCACGGAAGGGGAATTACCTGGCTGTGAGCGAACCGCCACCAGTTCTCTTGTTCATTGATGTCTTTCTCTAATGACGGTGGAAGAGCAAAACTTCAATGTGTAAAGCCAGATGGATGTTTGATAAATTAGAAGCAGACGTGCAGGCAGTTTGTAAAGCGCTGGCCTGGGCAGCTGCAGCCTCAGCACAAAGATGCCAGTATTAGTCAATTTGTCAGTGTCCGGGAGAGGCTGTACCAATCTCAGTCACTGAGATTGGATGAAATGCACCGGAACTCAATGCTCAGTAGTTTTAAAAACATCAGGTTTGCATCAGGCACTCTTCAGACAAAGCCACAGGACAGACAGACTTGCTAAATTTCCCCAGAGAACACTGATTCCTGTGTTAGATAAGGGAGAGAAGCTTGTGGATACTTTTTAAAGTTGCCATGAATGCCGGGCTAGTGTTTCCAGAACTGTTTTAAGACAGCCTGATCCTTGGAGCGCTTGTGGAAATCAGACTGCGATGCGGTAGCTCAGGCAGCGATCAGGTCCTGGGTCCCGTTGTCAGGTACCACGAGTGGATGCAGTCGGAGGAGCTGCAGCGCCTGACCGCCTCTGAACCTCTCAGCCTGGAGCAGGAGTACGAGATGCAGCGCAGCTGGCGGGACGACGCAGACAGTGAGGATCTTCAACGTTTTCTAAGGGTGGGCGGGTGTGGTGAGCAGGTCCCTTCTGTCCTGTAAAGGGCCCGCACTGGGCTGAGAGCGCCCGGTGAGTGGGCTCTACTTGCTGAAGCAGAGGGGATGCGAGACCTACGACACTAGCTTTGAACTGGCTTTTTGTTTATAGCTGGTATATGCTCAGGGAAGCAGAGAATGTCTGGGGCTGTTGGTGTCCTTTTTATGCAGTTTTTCAATGATTACAGTGATTTACTTCCCACAGCGTTACCCACTGAGCTGTTGCTGCACAGTCAACACTGCCCAGGTCTGGTCGTCGTAAAAAGGTGGAAGGGGGGGTTGTATTTTTCCTTGAGAAATCGAATGACTTTGTAATTACCTGCTTGAGGTGTGCTGACTGAATTGGTTCCCTGGCTTTCCTGCAGGTAGTGAATCACTGCCCATAAAAGCCTGGTAGAAATATAGTGAGCTGCAAAATACTGAGGCTGGCAAAGACCTCAGTCTGGAGCATTTGTCTCAGCTGGCATTAAAAGCCTTACTGACAGCAGCAATAATATGACTAGGTGAATCACTAGGTCTCAGTTTCTTGTGCACCAAACGATTCTTTGCCCAAACTTGCTGCAAAGTGAGACAAAGCAGAGAGACCTCAGTCATGGGGTGAAAGTTTCCCTGCTACGTAAATAGGCTGTTTCTAATCTGGGTGTCTACATCACCCTCACAACGTTTATTTTTCAGAATATTTCTTATATTTCTAGGGATGGAAGCAGGCACGCTTGGCATGGGAGGCCCAATTATTAGCTCTTCCTCACTGTTAATGTGTGGAAACTGTTCTTCCTCTATTGCATGCCTTTAATTTCATCCTCCAGTAATTTGTGAATAATTGTCAGCATGCCCTGAAAATGCTGCTGCGTTTTTGTTTTCCCCAGAGTGCACCTTCATTGTGCTGGACAGGGAGCGGTGGCCCGGGCAGGCGTGTGCGGATGAGGACTGCATGGTGGGGGACGTGAATCTCTTCCTCACTGACACTGAGGATCCGACGTTGGGCGAGATTGAAATTATGATTGCAGGTCAAATACTGCTTCCTAGCTTGGGCCTCTGTCACCGTGGCTAAAGCCAGCTGCAGACATGTTACGTCCAGCAGCTTTTTATTGTCGTTGCCTTACCGTGGCTGTTCGGCCCTGATTGGCATCCTTTGCCGGTCTGGGTCACAGCCTCTTCCAAAAAGTACCCGGCACGGCTGATTTGTCTTGCCTAACTGGACGCTGACTTCTGGGGCGCTCTCTTTCAGAGCCCAGCTACCGAGGCAGAGGGTTCGGCAAGGAGGCAACTCTGATGATGATGTCCTATGGTAAGGGTGGCTCGGGATGATGATGTCCCATGGCACGGGAACGGGAGTACGGTCGGGATGTGATCTAGAAGCCCGTATTCCCAGTGAGACAGACTGGGTAGTAAGGCATCCATCTGCCCCAGAATGTGGCAGTCGAGCAGGTGATAGAAATGCTTCTTTTTCTGATTCCTTTTGCAGGAGTGAGAAACCTGGGGATCACCAAATTTGAGGCTAAGATTGGTCAGGAAAATGAAGCCAGTATCTGCATGTTCAAAAAGCTTCATTTTAAGGAGGTGCGGTAACAGCCCGTCTTCTACCCAGGGAACGTGAGCAGCGGTTGCCCTCTGACTGGGCTTGAGCTGGTTTTCCTCTGTATGGTACAGGTTGCTGTGAACAGTGTTTTCCAAGAGGTGACGCTGAGGCTGGATGTCAGTGACCAGGAGAGACAATGGCTCCTGGAACAGACAAACCACGTGGAGGAGAAGAGCTACGCTGAACTGAAGCTGCCAGCTGGGGTGCTGGAGACCTGAGAGACGCATCCAGACACTGGCCTGGTTTCCAGGGAGGAGCTGGATGCCGTTACGAGGTCTGGGTGTGGAGGACACCAGCGAGCCCACGCTGCACTTGACTGTTTTCATCTGTCTCCTTTGGTTACTTTGTCATCTTGTCAACTTTGCGCCTTGTTGCACCGGCCAGGAATACTGCCTGAAATTTGGACCTGGAGAACAGCCACTAATTGACAGGCTTGACTAGGGATGACTATAACCTCAACACGCTGTTCCAGCAGAGCCTAAAATCACCAGCAGTTAATTGATTCCTGGTGCAACCAGTTTCTGGACAAGCAGCACCCACTGTTCCTTCTTCCACTGCCCTTAGAGGAGTCATCAGTCTGACGGAGGCAGTCTCAGTGCGCTGGTCGCTTGAATAAAAAAAACCAAACTGACAAAAATCGGAGGTTTCCCCAGAGCTATCTGGGAGTGAAAGGGTGGGTAGAAGGCATAAAGGACAGCAGAGACTCTTTGAATCCTGTTTTCTGGGGTGTGGCGGGTTGCAGGGGGACACCGCCAGGTCCTGGAAGCGAGATGGCGAGGTGTGGGTGAGCACAACGAAATGGCGAGCGCTGTTAACATGATGAAAATTAGCGATATTGGCCAACGGAGACTGGAGCAGAGCCACCCCATGATGGCCATGGAACGGGGGGGACTGGCAGCTGCGGGAGGCTGCTGAGACAAAGCCTCTTGCTGAGTCTCGGGACCACGCTTTGGCACACTGCTGCCTGTTAGGAGTGCGGACCTGGAAACCTCCGGCCATCGGTGAAGGGATAGCGTGCTCCGTTGTACCAGGCTGCTTTTATGAAAGCGAGGAGGAGGAGAACACAACTGAAAGGGGACGCAGTCTCTCAAGGACTCTCCTCTCTCAGGACTTGCTCTGCTGAGCCTGGAGGCTCCGTTTGCTGCTCTCCAGTAAGATGAATGAAGGGAAAAATAGCTTTTACTGGGGGCAGATACCTTCAGGGCGGGAGTTAGCCAGCTGGCCTCCGCTGTGGTAGAGCGAGATCCATTCCTGAAGGAGAGGCACTTGCCTGACTCCCACTGGACACGTTTTATTGCGGTTGTTGAGCCGGACCTTTCCTGCCCCGCGCAGCACGCTCTGCCCAGCAGGGAAGCTTGCTGAGAGGAGAGGACAGAAGAGGATAACTGACGCTCCTGCGTGTTTTCCCACTGCAATAGCAGCCATAATGGCTAATTCTAGACCAGAAATTAGTTGCGGCAATTACAAAGTAGCAGGTAATAGCTTTCAGCTTTGCCCAGGGGTGTTTTTATGGGAGATGAGTAGACTCTGGAATTTTTAGCGTTGCTCCGCCTGTATTTTTAGGGCCTGGGGGTTTCAGTTTTCCAATTTTAGTTCATTTAAATACATCATTCCTGTGACTAATATTAAAACCAAGCGTGGGAACAGCGTATCACGGTATTTTAAACAACAAGTATTTAGTGTGGATTTAGTTGTAGCGAAAGCTTTGCACGGTAATGAAGCGAAGAGCGGCTCTCCTTCCAGCTGGGATTACGGTGCCGAGGGCTGCTAATCCTCGTGCTCTTCGTCACCTGCTGTAGGCAGGAATGAATTCTGTCCCCCAGAACGCGATTTGCGGAACCTGCCGGGTAAACTGCTGGCTCTGTGCTCCTTCCGTGGAGCGTTTCATCCCTCTGCCAGAGGAGCAAGGTCGGACTGGCAGGAGAGACGTAGCTGGGGTGGGATTTGCTTCCCTAAAAAGTGACCAAGGTGGGAAAAGTCCTTTCCTTCAATCTCTGCCGCCAGGACCGAGGGGGGCACAGTGAAACCGTGCTGCCCGCCGCGGCTCCCCGTGCCCGGCCGGTTGCTCTGGAGCCAGCAAGCGCCCCGCTTGGCATCCCCGGTCCCTCGGCAACGCCAGCGCGCTCCCCCGCCTCCGTGGGCAGCTGGGAAAAGCCTTCGCCCTGGCAACCCCAAACAAAGTTGGGTCTGTCCCCGAGCCACCGCCCTCCCCCGGGCTGGGGGGGCCCGGCGGGGCTCAACCGGGGTTCCCACAGGGGACTGGTGCCCAGGCTGCTCGGACCAGGCAAAGATGCAAAAAGGCACTCCTGGGACCCCCCGGGCCCCCCCGCGGGCAGCCCCAGCCTGCGGCATCGCACCCCGTCCCAGGCAGGGACGCCCCGCTGGCCCCAGGGGGGTGAGGGTGGGAAACGAGGGGACAGGGGCTCACCTCCGCTCAGCGGTGCCGCCGCAGGGGCTGCGACGTGGGAGGACGAGGCAGGTTGAAATGGGCTCAGCTTCCAGTGGGGAGCGACAGCCTGCGTGTCCCCCGCAGGGCTGGTGGCACTTTGTCACTCGGGCGTCATTTGAGCTGCAGATCCAGCAATTGAAGAGGGACAAGCAACCCTCTCCCCACCGACCCCCTGCCTGCGGTGCGCCCTGGGGCGCGGGCTCACCCCAAACCCCCCCGAGGGGCTGGGGACAGATTTGGGCTGCCCCCAGCATTCCCGCCGCCCTCCAGCCAGGCCAGCAGACACGGATTAGAGCCTCCCACCACCCCGGGGATTAGAGCCCTTTAATCACCCCCAGGCATTAACCCGCACTGGGACCAGCCGGTCCCTCCCCGACCCCCCCAGCCTGGCCCCGCTGGGTGCTGAGGGGGCACCCAATCCCCCCCGGTGTCCCCCACCACTGGGAGCGTTACCTGCCTCTTCCCCCAGCCCCGGCAGCACGGTGAGCCCCAGCGAGCTCCCGCGGAAGGATTTAGCCTTCAAGCGGACACGTGAAGTCAGGAAGGTTTATTCCAGTAAACAGAATTTCTCTTGAGCTGGACAGTACGACAACACCCAATCGCAAAACACAGAAACATAACATCCACAGGAAGAATTTCCACAAAATACATTTAAAAAAAAAATAAACAGTGTGATTAGAAAACTCTTATTTTGGAAAAAAACATGAGTCTATTGAGAAGACTTTAAATTACACAGTGTCGGATTCAAACCCTGATCGGCCCTGTCTCCAGGAGTGAGCGGGAGCAAAGGAGATAATTATTGCTTACTGTGCTGGCTCCGGACACCCTCTTCTCTCCCAAAACAGCCCCGGGGCAGGGTGCTGGGGCTCCCCGCTGTGCCGGGCGCCTGCGTCCCTCCTCGCGCCCGCTGGGACCCGGGGGCGAAGGGCCAGGGTCATCGTGGACGGAGCTTGCCAGGCGGGGGTCAAACACCCCGGGAGGAATCGCGGGGGGCGGGCAGGCGGGGTTTCTAAAGTCACTAAAAGCCTCAGGTTTTGCAGTTAAAGGGTAATTTGGAGGTGGGGGGGCTCAAATGGAGCTGGGGTTTGGGGTGGGGGAAGAACCAGGGAACAGCAGGGATCAAAGCATTGGGTCACCCCAAATCCCCGATCCCCCCTGAACCCTGCCTGTGCCTACGGGGGCGGGCAGGGCTTCGAGGCAGGGCTGGAGGAGCACCCCGGGGACGGGCTCACGGGCGGGGGCACCCCGGCACCCCCCGCCCCTCTCTAGCCCATGGGTGCGAAGCCGGGGGGGCGGGTGGACCCTTGCCCCCCTCGCTCCCGTCCCGTGGCCTTCACAGGTTGCTGAACAGTTCGTTTTTCTTGCTCCAGTCCATCTGGGGTGCCCGCTTACTGGTGCGCTTCTGGTGCGCCCGCTCCTTGGCCACCGCCAGCGGGATGTCGAGGTCCAGGAGGGAGCCGGATGCCGAATGGCGTTTGTCACCCCCCTGTGTGTCGGGCTGGGGGACGAGAGGCTGCGTCAGCCCCGCCGTGCCCCCCGGGACAGCCCCGCAGTGGCGGGGATCAGCCCAGACCCCGCTTTCCAGCCACCGCCTCCCCCCGGCATCCCCAGCCCTACCTCGCCGTGGGTCTCGCCGGCGTCGGGGGACACGGCCAGCGGCCCGGGGCTGGACGGGCTCTCGGACACCGAGTTGGACCGCGGCTCTCCGCCGTTTTCCTGGGGGGAAGCAGGGAGCGAGCATGAGCGGGGCAGCTCCAGCCCTGGGGTTTGGGAACGGCCTCCGGAGCTGCGAGTCCTGCCCAGGGGGCTGCAAAATCCATCCTGCCCACACATAATCCCCCGTGAGCTCCAGGCTCGTAAATACCTTCAGTGCAGCCCATCCGGGGCAAGGAAGGATTAAACCCCAGCCTGACTGCCCTGGCTTTAGTGGGAGGAGGAGGAGGAGGAGGGCAGCTGCAGGGATGGATGCTACTGTCCCACAGCGCGAGGGCTCCCAGCCCTGCAGTGTCGTGAGGATGGAGGAGGAGGAAGGGCGGCGTTGCGGCCACCTCCATGACACTCAGCCCCACAGGCAACCCCTTTCCTGGGGGGCACCAGCTCCCGGTCCCCTTCCCGCTGGCACCCGCCCTTGTGTGGCAGCCTGGGAGCACTGCAGTCCCTGGCGGCATCGCCCGCCCACGGGCAGGGGGGACACCTAAGCAGGCAGGGTCCCTGCCCACACACCGGCATAGAGGGATTAAAAGCAAGATGAGGCTCTCTTACCTTCCCTATATCACCATTGGCAACTGGTTCTGGCAAGGGACCTGCGGGGTGAGGACACGGGTGCCGGGTGAGGATGCGTTTGCTCTGTCCCCTCCAACCTGCCCCCATCACCGGGGGGCACGGCACTGCCCAGCGCTCACCCAACGCTGCCCAGGGTCTGGCCGGCTCCCCAATTTTTTAACCCACCCCTCGCAGCCAGCTCCGCAGCACGGGGGGATGCTGCTGGGCACCAGGTACATCCCTGTCGTGACAGCCACGACATGGAGCCCAGCGAGACCTCCCCGTTCTCCTGGGGAACACCGCCACACAGCAGGGAGGGGGCCACAGCCGAGCCCAGGCTGCAGAGGAGAGCAAAGGGTGGCTGCTGCCTGTTCGCTCCCCGAGCCATAAACCTTGCCAAAGTGCAACCGGGGCCATAAACCTGCCTTCCCGCAGAGCCCACGTCAGCCCCACCGCCCCGGCACGGGGCCCTCAGCCAGGCAGGGAGACGGCAAAGCCGGGTGGCCCTGCTTGGCCTCCACCTCCCAGGGCTCGGGGACTCCCCCAGCACCCCCAGGTTCGGTGACACAGAGGTGGCACAAGCCCCTCGCCCTGCAGCACAGCCCCCAGCCCACCTGCCAGGTGCTCCTCAGAGGGCACCACCTTGCACTTCTTGAAGAACTCATCCGTGAGGACGTCCACCACCAGCAGCCTGGTCTCGTCGCCGCCCGCCTTGATGGCTGCCACCACGTCGGCGTGCTGCTTGCCCTCCATGCACACCCCGTTCACCTGCGGGCATGGCACCACGTCACCGCTGGAGCCAGGGACCATCCGGCCCTTGGGAGCTCCACGGAGGGGCCGGGTACCAGCCCTGGTACCAGTCACAACCCCAGCACGGCCACCCCACAGCCCCCGCAGGTATCCGCAGCCTCGCAGGGATTAGCGGCGAAGCCAGCAAAACCTCATTAAAAGCAGATTTTCCTCCGAGTGATTAGCACAGGATCGTACGGGCAAAGCTGGCAGGGAGCGTCTGGCAGGGCACGGACCTGGGGCTGGCGCAGGAGATGGGCAGCACGGGCAAGGCACAAAGCCCTTGTGCCATGGCGTGGTCCCCAGAGACCCCAAAGCTTTGCCCCAAAAGAGGCAGCAGCCCCACGCCCTGGTGAGCAGCAGGGTTGGGGCTCAGCCCGTCCTTGCCCTCGTGGGTCACCATCCCGCCTGGCACAAACCCTGTCCCTACCCCGGTCACGGCTGGTAGCAGGGCTTGGGGCCATCGTGCACCTTGTCCTCAGCCTGCCCCACCCCAGGGACAGCCCAGGGACACTCCTGCACCAGGCAGGGGACAGTGCTACCACTGGTTAACCCACAGCTGGCTAATTAGTGCTTAGCCCCAGCCCTCTGCGGTGCTGCTCCCCGCCACCCACCCGGCTGCGCCCCTGGGTGGGGACCGGCAGGCTGGCACGGGCCGGACGGCTGCACCGTGAGTCACTGCCGGTGCCAGGGACACTGCACACCTTCCCGGCAAAGGACACCTCCCTCCCCGGCACCGGGATGCGAGGGAGTGCAGAGCTTTTCGGGGAGACCCCCCCTGCCCCGGCATACCTCGATGATGCGGTCCTGGGGTGCCAGCCCCGCCGCCTCGGCCGGCGAGTCGGGGTCGACAGCTCGCACGTACTGCCCCGGGCGGGTCTTGTCGCTGTGCAGGTTGAAGCCGTAGCCATTGGGACCCTTCTTCATGTGGCACAGCCGAGGCCGCAGCTCCTCCTGCAATGGGGACAGCCCATGGGAAAGCCGCTCCTGGACCCCCCAACACCCAGGGACAGCACTGGGACCACCAGACGTTTGCTTGAGTGGCAGGGACATCACCCTCGGGTGGCCACCCGCACCCACAGACACCTCGAGTTGGGACACAGGGTGCCCTAACAGCCTATGAACCCAGGCTCTAGTTAATTAATTAGGTGCAGGGCATGCTAATTGCAACAAAACATTAAGGCAACATGTTATCATGTCTGTCCCTAGACCGCGCTCTTCCTTTTGGGATCAGGACTGCAACTGCCACGTGAAGGTGGAGGAGGAAACGCAGCCCAGGCTGCTGGGAAGCACCCCCACCCCTCCCAGGAAGCCCTCGCTACCGGAGAAGCCTCAGCCAGGGGTGCAGATCCCCTCCATCACCCCCTCACAAGCTCCAGCCCCCCTCCACGGCAGATCCAGCAGTGGGACCAGCGGGACCCCCGCACCCCAGAGCGGCTCCCAGCTGTTGCTGGTGGGGAAGGGGCACAAGGAGCTCAGCGGGGAGGCAGACGGAGCAGCCCCGATACCGAAGCACGCCCCAACGCCCCAGCATGACCCTCCGGGATTGCAAAACAGAGAAACCAGCTGGACCGGGGCGGCGCGACATGGGACATTCACCTCTCCAGGAGGCAACACCCAGCTCGTCTGTGCCTGGATTCACCCCGACCTGCGGATCCGCCAGCACCCGGAGCTGGGGAACCCGACCGGGGTAGCCACGGGCCCATTAACAGCGCGATTCCCCACACTGCAGCAGCCGGGGAAGCAGGAGCGTCCCCAGGAGTCTGGCAAAAAAGGAGCTGCCTTTGCTTGCCCAGCGGGGAGCGGGATGCCCGGGAAGCACCAGAGGAACCGGGAGACACGAACCAGCTGCCTGCAGGCAGCGCTGTCAGGACTGCTCCCACCCCAGCACCCAGACACCACTACCACGTATTTATATATAAAATGGTTTGATCCTGCCTTGACCACCAGCTCCTGGGCTTTGGTAGGGCTCTCCCAGCAGCCAAGCCGCACTCGAGCTCTTGATATATTCCTCACCGGGGGCTTTAACATTTATTCTTTTTTCTGAGATTGTCTGTTCTCCTTTGGTACCCATAGCATCACTGGGGACATGCACTGCAGGAATTTCCCCTGCTGTATCCGCACCGTGCTGCTCTTCACCCCCTGTACAGCAGGCTCCCTTCTCACCATGAAATCCCCTTTGCCCCCCGCCAGGGAAGCCTGGTCCCCAGGGCGCTGTCACCCCGTGTCTGGCAGCACCGCGGTGGCATGGGTCCCGCATGGGCCAGGGTGACGCATTTGCAATCGCTAAGCCCAATGCTGCAATAAAACCCCGTCCTCTTGCACAACGCCTTCCTGCAGGGTTAAAGCCGGCTGCCGCCCCGGCACCGCTCACCAACGCCCTGGCGCACGCAAGCGCCCAGCCGGGTCTCCAGGTGAGCGAAGGTGAGCCCGGGACACCGCGGCACTGGCAGTCACGCAGGACCCGCTCCAGCCGTGGCCCGGCCGGGCGATGCCTGGTGCAACAGCCCAGCTGCACCCCCAGGAGCTGGTGGTGTCTCCTCCGCAGACCGGCAGCGGGTTCCCGGGTTGGGTGGAGGATTGCGACACCTCGACTTCGCCCCGGCCGCCCCTCAGTCCCCCCCATGCCTGGGTGGCAGCAGCTTCACGAGGCACCCAGGCTGCTGCGCCTTCACCCTCCGCCCAGGCAGCACCCTGGGGACAGCAAAGACCCAAAACAAGGCCAAAAAACAGGAGCTGGTGGAGCCTGGAGGAAGGCAGCAGCTCCCGGGGTCCCTGCCCCGGCCCAGCCCCGGGCAGGGGGTTCGGGCTCTGCGAGCACCCACGCTCCCGGTGCCCTTGGCAGCACCGCAGGGTTGCTCCACGCCGATAGCTCAGGACAAAGCCAGAGGGAGCACCCGGCGAGCGGCGCTGGCAGCGCTCCCAGGCGAGGAGGAGGAGGAGGGAGGACTTTGCTTCCACCCATACCAACAAAGGCTCGGCAGCTTGGGCTCCCCGA